TTTTTTTTAAACTATAGTCCGCCCCTCCAACGGTCTGAGGGACAGTGAACTGGCCCCCTGGTTTAAAAGTTTGAGGACCTCTGTCTGAACAGAACTGACTTTACTGACTTGCATGATAACTACAGGGTTTTCAAACTAAGCAAGTATCACTGTTCTGGTACCAATGAAATTATGTCACATATAAGGCAGTTCTTGGGTAAGAGCAGACAGAATAAAAACTGTGACTACAGGTACAATGGTACAAAAAGGCCAAAATGCCATCGTGAAAATACATCAAATGGTGTAATTACAGGTGATTAAAGTTATACCATTCTGAGCTTTAATGCATGCAAAACACTTGTGTATAGGTATTAATAATATAGCACACATACTAAAATTAGATATTAAAGTGGATTATTTTACTCTGGAGAAGACAGTCTATCTGACCTTAAGTATCAGACTCCAATAATTTCCTTTTTTTCTTTCTTTCTTTTTTTTAAAGATGTGGGGTACAATTCAGGGTTAGGCATACAAATGTTTATTATACAGGTACCCTTGTTGATGAGGTGTGCTCCCGTTCCCCTGGCAGTTTCTCATTACTACCAATCCTACCCTCCTACCCTGGCAGTTTCCCACTACTTTCAATCCCTTATTCTTATAGAATAATGATAATTAAAAATAATCTTTTTTTTTTCTTGAGTAGGAGTCTCACTCTGTCGCCCAAGCTGGAGTGCAGTGGCATGCTCACGGCCACCGTGAGCCTTGACCTGCTGGGTTCAGGTGCTCCTTCTGCCTCAGCCTTCCAAGTAGCTGGAACTACAGGCACACACTACCATACCCGGCTTATTTTTTGGTTTATTGTAGAGATGAGGTGCCACCAAGTTGCCCAGGCTGGTGTCGAACTCCTGAGCTCAGACAATCCTCTTGTCTCGGCCTCTCAAAGTGCTGGGATTACAGGCTTGAGCCACCGTGCCTGGCCAATAATTTCCTTTTTAGATGTGATTCTGTAATTAAATTGAGGAAATAAACGAGAAT